ATATATATATATATTTGTAATTTTATCAGCCGACATTATGAATCATTGCTATAAACGTTATTTTTAGCAGGTACTAATGCTGTTATCCCTGGCTTTTTTTCTTTATTTTTCTTAGACAGTGAAATTAATAACAAGCGAACTTCTCAATCTAGACCGGTTGTTATTAATTTCACTAAGAAAATGAAACATACAGAGGGTCTAGCAAATCAAATACGTGCACCCACTAAAAATAACATTTATAATAAGAAATATATCTTTGTGAATGTATGACATAATATATAGAAGTATAGTAACATCCGACATTAGAGAATGAAGTTTTCAAAATAAAAAAAATTCCAGTTCTGCATATTTTATAGTAATAAGAATTGCAGTAAATATTCTGAAAATGCCATTCTACATTAACTTTTCATAATATAGAACCAAGAATAGAATAAAACTTCTTTTTTTTTTAAAATTGTGTCGAAATTGAAAACTTGTACTTAAACATGCAAATTAACAACTTTATTTAATATTGACAAAGAATATTAATAATTTGTTTAAAGATTATGGCTTAGTATTATTCCTGTATGGCTATAGAGAACAACACAAATTTATTGTTTTATTCTATTCTTCCTTCAGTTTCGGTTTCTTTCTTTGCTGACATTCTTGAAAATATTGTCTATTGAATTGAGATCTGGATTTTAGACGAACCATTCCATAACCTCGACGCTTTCAGATTAGAAAAATTGTTGTATCTTAGATAATTATGGTCCAACGATAGTTCTTCTCAGAGAAGGAACAACAGTAAATCTACTTATACGCCTCAGCATTTACTCTGAACGTAACCTAATGTGTATGATGATATGCAAGATGCAAGACAATCCCCACAACCCCAAAACAAATACTCTATTACCTCTGAATTTAACTAATTTCTCAACTTTGGGAAGCAATCGCTCAACTTAATCCTGTTTACCAAATTAAATTTGTTTTCTCCGATGAAAAACTACTTTTCCCAACTGCCATCAGTCCAACGTTCTCGTTTGCAAAAACTTTTGGTTCTTTTTGTTGAAGGGTTTGACACTTGGAGGACGTTTATGAAAACCTGTTTCTTATTAACAACGTAACACTGTCTTCTGATAAATTTTCATGACAAATTTATCGGCCAACTGTCGCGTAATGTCTGCTGCTACGTCAAAACCTTACACCACAGAGTCTGAATGACGGTATCCTGTCAAGAAGTTGTCTAAATTGACCTCTCTACTATTTTCGGTTAGGCGATAGGATCAGCATAAATCTTTAATATTCGGCACCGTACAATGTTTCATCTATTAAATTCCTTTGCAATAGCGGATTATTATTATTATTATTTGCCTTTGCTTCGTTTAGTATCAGTTGCCACCCTCAAAACCTAAGATCAGAAATGACATCATATTTTCCACTGTACATTAGTGTCAAAATAAACTACCTACAAAATATACAGATTTTTTATAGATAAAAACTTTTGTCGTATGTGAACTGTGCCCGCTCTTACAAATTTTCTAAATTTCTAAGGTATGGGCTGCCAGGGATCCTTTCAATGAGTTTATCGGAACCTTTTTTTCAATGAGACCCAGGACCGCAACCACAACTGGCAATTTGATGTCTTCATGTGCCACATCTTTTAGATTTCCCCTTCACGATTCCTGCATTTTATAGCTTTTTAAGTTCAAAGCTACGTAATAGTCTTCTGAAATTAGCGTGCCAATAAGAAAACTAATTCTGCTTTTGTGGTCTTTGATCACGATTGATTGGGCAATTAGATTTTATTGTTCCCCTCTGTGTGTATTCGAAAGTTCTATCAAAATGGTTACTGATCCTCTGTCTATAACCGGACCTGGGTGGTGTTCATACTAAATTTTTGCATTTTTCTTCTCATAAAAGTTTCAAAAATATATATTATCAGATATTATCCCACCCTGGAATTGGTAGATGCTAATGTCATGCAACCTGATACAAAATGGTCAATTCTTTCTCGGTATTCATCACAGAATCTACATTTGAGGTCAACATAATTTTTCAGTATATTTCCTCGATAATTTCTAGTTAGCAAGCAATGATCTTGTGCAGCAAGTATAAAACCTTCAGTTTTCGCTTTTAATCCTTTACGATGCAACCACTGATGGGTATCGACATGTCCGAAACAGGCAGAGTATTGGCCACGATGAGCTTTATCTTGCCGTTGTTTCTACACTTGATCTATTGAATTTGTTTTTACATTTCCCACTATAACAGATAGCTTATGGCTTCATCCACTTGAAATTCCCTTTTGGCCTCATTTATCACGGAATAAAATTTCTAATTTCTTTCACACAAACAATCATCAAGTCTTCTGTTGTTTCTAGGTAATTTTGAAGGCCAATTCTCGTTTAGTATTTTTTTTTAATTCAACTACACTGCCTCCTTCGGATCTGGATACATACAGACATTTTCTTTAGGGTAATGCATGCTTTGACAAGTGAGTAGTTTTCTCGTTTTGACATCGAATCGTTTAATGTCAACTATGGTCCAGTTAAAGATGTTGAAACTGTATTGTACCACAGGGACATCTAAAGTATTTATGTCTGCTATACTATTTTGTAAATTCAACTCGGTATTTAGCACCAGACACACACGTCTATAATATTCTTTACTTACTTTCTCCTTCGTTTTAGTATACTGTATTACATAACCTTCACTGATATCTAGATATTTATACGCTTCTTCTTGTTCCAGTTGCTTTATGACCAAATCCTTTATTAAATGTTTTTTTTCAATAATTCTCCCTTTTCTTGAATGTTAATTTTTCACATTTAATCCAAATCCGAAGTCTATACCGATATAATCATTTTATCAGTTTACAGTTTAAGGAGACTTTACAACTCATTCTCTTTTAGAGAATTTTGAGGTTATTCATGTAGAATAAGTGAGTAAAGAATTTGTTGTTTATTTTGTATGCAAAGTTATGTGATTTTCCACAGACCTATCCTATGTATCAGGGAATTTACTATCACAGGGGGATTTTGTAAATTACTAATGAAAAAAGAATCCAAACGTTTGGTAGACTATCGAAGGCTTTATGATAATCTATCCAAGGTGTACTGAGATCTTTTATCTTTTTTATGCAATTTTCCAGGATTATTTTATTTATCAATAGTTCATCTTTGCAACCATCTGAGCCGCATCCATCCATTCAGAGGAAGAATGTTGTTTTCACCGAGAAAAAAAGTACAGTCACTCAGTGTAGAAGTGATTAATTTATGCGCTGGACAGATGTTATAGGCGTACTTTTTTTTTGTATAAACTCTTTCACTCGTTTTTGTTACGAGATATGTAATACTATCAGTTATCCATTCTGTAATTACATTGGGATTATTCATTAGTTTGTGCTATTGTTTTATGGATTGATGATAGACGCTATATTCAAGAGTTGACGACCTTATCATTTCCTGGTGATTTTCATTTGGAGGATTTTGTTACAGCTTGATTTACATTACTTTTGGTAATATTTTCCCATTCTTGTGCAGGTTTATTCCTTATTCTTTCTTGCTCTCTTTTGATTCCCTCTGCGTTGGGATTACATTCCTTAGGGCTACTCCAAATGTTTGCCTTTCTTCAACAGATGGTGGCTTTTTGAGTTATAAATTTTTTTCCCAATTTCCCTGTAGAATGTCTTGAAGTCTGCTTGAGAGGTGTTTTGTCGATAAAACCTACAACGCTTTTCAGATCCCCTGTCCTCTGCGCCATTTCTCTTGGCGTTTCTTTGAAGAATTTCCTTGATTAATGAAATCGCATTTGCTTCTTTAATGTTACATTTCGGCTTGACCTTCCTACTTTTTCATGTCGAAACTTTTAAATTTCTTGAAATCTCTTCCAATATCGAAAATTCACATCTGATTTTTTCAATGTATAGCTTTAATTTTGCCTTCCAAGCAGGTTTATATATCTTGACATTTGTAATTTCTGGGGGTGTTGCATAAATTACATTCTTTACTGCTGAAATGTTTTCCAGTGGTTTGTCTGTTAAAAATGTTTGCAATGCATCTTTGCATTTTTGCCCAGTACATTTATTGAATTTCGTCATATGGGTGTTTTAGTTATGTGGCTGAATATTTGAAATATGTGATTTTTTTTCTCTTCCGTGATTTCATTTCTGTTTTTTTTGGTGGGGGTGTTTTTTTTGCAAGGAATTCTGTTCTAAATTCGTTTGATTCATTTTCATCGGTGACATGATCTGAAACAGTGAAATTATTTTTAGTTTCAATTTCTGCATGGTCATTTTTATTTATCCGATTTGTTTTAGCTCGTACCTCATCCTGTGAAATTATGAAATTCCACTCTTGTTTCAGTTTTGTTTGAATTATGAGTTTTTGTACTTTGTCTTATATTTAGTTTTATCTTATCTATTTCTCCATTTGAGAGTTTTTTGTTTATTTTGTTTTTATTTCGTATGATATCTCCACTGACACTGGCAATCCCATTTAGTTCAAGAGAGGGCCTTACCATGTCTCTCTATATTTTTTTATGTCTGTTCTTTTGGAGATTTTCAAGTGTAGTCGAAAAAAGATGTCATGACTTGCTTATACTCTTCACAGCAAAAATATGCGTGATATGGTGACAGGTTTTAATAAAAACAGCGCATCACTTTGAAGTTGGAGCCAAGTTAGAATTACCTTCAGGTCGAGTAATCCAGACCACTCAGATTGTCGCTGATTGACCGTTTCCCCAATTGTCTTGATACAACTTTCATGTCACGCTTTGAAACTTAAAACAAATACAATCCTCTCCACATCCGATATCATCATCATCATCATTATTATTATTATTACTATTATTATTATTACTATTATTATTATTATTATTATTATTATTATTATTATTTGCAAATTTTCAGGATATTTGTCGAGGTCCTAACAAAATCATATTAAATGGCTATTGTTATTGTTGCATATTGTTGTTACTATTGTATATTGCTTTAGGCAATGATTTGTCTTTAAACTTTTCTGATGCTGACTGGTGATAATTTTGTTTTCCTCCGTACATTTTCACGTTCTTCGTTGCTTTCAAGGGATTCACTAGGTTCTTTCAACGGAACTTCTACTTTATCCACCTGCAAAGTTCAATAGAAGAAAGAAAAATAAGCCAAGATTCAAGGTTTCTGTTAAACAAGGAATGTAGCTTGTGGAAAAAGAGGTCGAGAACGACGAATGTAACTCTGCTTCGTTAAGTTAAATTCCTGAATCTTCAAACAATTACTTAACTTTGCTTCTTCTTTTTTTTCTCAGTTAACCTGCTTTCTTTCCTTCTTTTTTCCATTGTTTCTTGGCTCCTTGACTTCCATTTTCAGCTCCCTCTACCTCCTTCCTTCCCTCCCTCCCCCTCTCCCTCTCTCTCTCTCTCTCTCTCTCTCTCTCTCTCTCTCTCTCTCTTCTTATGTTGCTTCTTTTCGATTTTCTTTCTCATTCTTTCTCTTTTTATTTTCCTCTATTTTTGACAGCTTATTTCATTTTCATTTTATTTGTTTTAATTTTCATCCATCTTTCCTGGATTTATTTTTTGCCTGATACTTTTTTCCTCGCTATTTAGGCCTCTTCTCAATTTCTGCTATCTTATTTTTTCTACTTTTTATTATTATTTTCTATTATTATTCTGCTTCTTTCTTATCACATTTTTTTCTTGTCTGCTATTTCTTTTTCATTTTTTCTTCATGTTTATCCGTTTTCATCTTTTTTCTTCTTTTCTTTTCCTTGGTCTTCAATTTCTTTTTGTTTTCTTTTTTCTTCATTTTTCTTCTTTTATTTTTTATCTTGTTCTTTTTCTATTTTTGTTATTTCTTTTTCCTTCATCCTTCGATTTCTTCTTTTTTTTTTTCTTCCATTTCTTTATCTCCTTCTTTTTGTTCACTTTTTGTCTTTCACAGTTTTATTTATTTTTGTTTATTTTGCCTTTTTAGTAGGCTTAATTCTCTTTTTCATTTTCTTTGTCTTTCATAAATCTGTTTCTTTTTCCCATTAGCAAATGTGAAGCAAATTGGAATGCACGCTGTATCTGAGACCCCCACCACACATATACACCGCTCACCCCCCTACGCGCACGCATTTCTCGTTCCATTCGCGTAAAAGATAAGACAGAATATTTGACACTCCTCGCAGGAGATTCCTAATCGCCCTTCTCGTACTGACTGCCTCAATAAATGAATAAGACAAGCAACGAACGACGACTTAAGCGAGTTTCCTAATTACAGCAACAAATTCCTTTCTCATTTATTCTACTCACTCAAATACAAAAGAACACAAAACGCGAGAAGATAGTTTCCTATGTATAAAATCCAAATGAATGATATAAAATCTCTTCGAAATTTTCAAAGTTACACATATACAATGTGCTAAATGAACGAATATTTCGAACACCATACTCATCGATTTTCGCTCCCAAATTTTTTAGCAGTAGCCTTTGTGATAATACTGTATAAACGTCCAAGGGATCTACTTCGACAGAGGCAGTAGAAACAAGGTATTTAGGAAATGATTTTACCATGGCCAAAATTATCTGTTATTACATACATACATACATACATACATATATATATATATATATATATGAAGAAAAATATACAGAAAAAACAAACAAAAATCTTAATATATAATTATGCTGTATTAATGTTAATATAAAGTCAACGTCGGACGTTTCGGTCTATTTTAGACCATCATCAGGACTTATTTATAAAACATATTAACATTAGAACAAATTAGATTTTTGTTTGTTTTGTCTGTATATTTTTCTTCATACTGTCGGATCTATATCTATATATTTATTATTTGCTTATATATATATATATATATATATATATATATATATATATATATATATTCCGCATATTTTCATTTAAACATGTCTGATTAAACAATTTAGACATATTGTGTTTACTTATTTTCAATAAAATCCTTATGACATAATCACGTATGAACTTTCTTGTTTTATTATTAAAGACAGCAAGAAAGATACTGTGGTTATATTTATTCATTTTTATTTTTCCGCGAGTACTTTCGATATTTTCCAATATCATCATCAGCGTTTGATGATTAAGACAAAATAATTGTTTTTGGCTGAAATAAATTTTTGTTTTGTGGTTAAACCGTTAACAATTCCGCTCATGCGCAAAGTCACAAACGCTGATTTTAAAAATTTTATGTTATAAGAGAAATTCTTTGTGGTTGAATTATTACAACTGTGTATATGCTTGTGAACGTAAAGTCAATTTCATAATTTTAAAATTTTAAGGGAGGTAATTTAGCTAATAATTGAATTAATAATAGGTTTTAATTTACTTGTTCTTAAAATGTTACTTTTTTTGTTGTTTTTTTTCGTTTTTTTTTTTTTTTTTGTTTTTATCAGTATCACCCCAAGGGGGTACAGCCACTAGAACGCAAGGTGTTACAAGGTGTGAAAGAAATTAGGAGCAGAAACATTTGTAATGGTCAGAGAAAATAGCAATCAGGAGGACAGCAGATTTTTTCAGATTGGTGTTGGTTGGAAGTGTTGGAAAAGAAACTATCAGCATGGAAGTTACGGGTAGCTCAAATGTAAATTGATAAAATCTCGCAACCAGTCGAATATTGCACTTAAATTCAAACAGTCCATAGCGTAAAGCTCATCCGAATAAATACAATGAAAGTATTTATAAAAAAGCCACAATCTTAAGCTGAGTCACCAGGACAAATAATAGAGCTGATTCATCTTTGGATCTTATCAAGGAGCTCCAGGTAAATAGTAGGGACACCGGACCATATATGACAACAATATTCTAAGTATGGACTAATGGTAGACTTATAGATATGCATGAGAGATTCCGGAGAGAAAAATTGTCTTGCCCGATACAGTGAACCGACTTTTTTAACGGCTGACCTAGATTCAATATAGTTTTTCAACTTCAGAACGTTAGCCCAAAAAGGCGCAACGAGTAATTTTCCTGGTGGTGTAACTTAGATATTAAAAAAAAAACTATATACCATAAGCATTTCAGAACATTTCTACTATATTCATAATTAATTTTGTTAAGTGTTAGTTTTAGATTTTAATAAAGATAGCTTCACGAATATGCAATTTCAACTTATTACTTTTTTGTGAAGTATACAGGTATTATCCACTAATATTCTTCTAAATTGTTAATGTGGAAAGGAATGTTTTTGAACATGTTGAGCAATGGATGATGAATCATTCATGTGTAGAGTGATCTTTCTAGATAACGTGAGTGTGGTATAACCAACATATATATTAGCATTTTTGTCGGGGATGCAATCTTCGAAGGGAAATTTATATTTATATATACTGTTGCTTTTACAATACGTTAATTGGTGGGGAGGGATTTTGCAGATGATTAAGTTAGTAGTATTGAATTTTGTATATAATTAATTTTATTATTTTCTGTGATCTGTGGACGATATATTAGTATTTTTTAGGCTTTCTTTAGGATTTTATCATCTTGTTTATATTTAGAATGCATCTGATTACGATATAAAAGATCGGTATGTTTAGGGTTATTTGAGAAAGTATTATGTTCTATTTGATTTATATTAAAAATTTCTAACAGATTGTCTTATTTGTTCATCGTCAATGCAATTAGGAAAATTATTATTAATGAGAGTTTGTTTAATGTTCAGTGTAGAAAATGACTTTGTGGACGGTATATTAAATTTGGTATAATTGCTATTTTATGGCAGTTAGGAGATTTGCTCTTATAATGAAGAATGCATGAGTTCATACTAGTAGTTTTTTTATATGGGCATGCTGTGAATGTATTATTATTGGTGTTTATCAATATATTAATGAAAGGAATTGTATTATTATTAAGTTCTAAACGTAAATATAAGACCCACAGTTTAAAAACAAATACATTATAACTTTCTATTACTAATTCAAACATTAACTACGTTACCTCCCTTATATTAAAATTTTAAAATTATGAAATTGACTTTACGTTCAAAAGCATATTCACAGTCGTAATAATTCAACCACAAAAAATTTCTCTTACAACATATTTTTTAAAATCAGCGTTTGTGACTTTGCGCATGAGCGGAATTGTTAACGGTTTAACAACAAAACAAAAATTTATTTCGGCCAAAAACAATTATTTTGTCTTAATCATCAAAACGCTGATGATGATATTGGAAAATATCGAAAGTACTCGCGGAAAAATAAAAATGAATAAATATAACCACAGTATCTTTCTTGCTGTCTTTAATAATAAAACAAGAAAGTTCATGCGTAATTATGTCATAAGGATTTTATTGAAAATAAGTAAACACAATATGTCTAAATTGTTTAATCAGACATGTTTAAATGAAAATATGCGGAATATATATATATGTATATATATGTATGTATGTATGTACGTATGTATGTATAAACGCAGCATGTCTAAATTTCATAATTAGACAAGTTTAATATATATATATATATATATATATATATATATATATATATATATATATATATATATATATATATATATATATATATATATATAGTGGACACTCCCGTCAATTTTGATGTATGAATACCTAAGTTTTAGAACTGAACTGCCAGGCAAACTACGCACGCAGTTTAATCGCTTATAAGTATGTTTTTACAGTGTGATCTAGCTCACTTTAACCATTATGCACAACATAACTTTGAACCGGTTGCATTTCCAACACTGTGAAACGCACCGGGATGTAACCAGCTGAAAACACGCAGTTCTTGATGTTGATAGAAACACTTAAAAGTGCTTTGACAAAACAGAACCAAACATGACAGTTTATTCACAAATTACGATTGTGGTGTACATTTTATTCGAAAATCAGAAATATACTATAAAAATTAAACACTGCCTGGTGAATTTAACAATACATACATATATATATATATATATATATATATATATGTGTGTGTGTGTGTGTGTGTGTGTGTGTGTGTGTTTCATTATATTCAACGGACAATGTTTATCTCTTAGAGATAAACAGAGAGATAAACAGAGAGATAGATACTATAAGTGATCAACAAGAACAAATACGAAGGTTAGATGATTTCTTATATAAAAATATGTTCATACATTTCATAATCAAAACTTCAAATTGACAGCAACATAAAAAAGACTCTTGTTTTATTTAGCCAAATGGTGTGTCGGTTAATGAAACAAGTTGAGATTATTAAGAGTAAAAGGCAATTTTTATATTAACTTTATTGAACGACATTTTGTATTTTGCTCCTCTATATTCTACTGGATTCCTTGTGATTTCATAATTCAGAATGTTTTATTTTTCTCAACAGATAACTGCCTTAAGTACTTCCTGTAGTCTTCCAGGAAACTAAAATTGTTTCCCTTCTGACAATTCTGTAAAGATGGCAATAAATGGTCATTTTGAATGTGCAATATCTGGTGAATACATTGGATGAATGAAAACCTCCTAGCCAAGTCATAAGAATTTTTGGCTAGTCACCAAAAAGACGTGTAGCCATTCAAACATTATCCTGTTGGCCCGAAGGATTTACGTTGATTACTGTATTGAACAGGTATAAGTGAGAAAAGTACTTGTTCGAATCAATCATTTGGTTCTCCAAATATATATATATAAATTGATATGATTGATTTGTTTTTTTACGGCTTATCAAACTTTTATGTGTTATTTAAAGCAATAAACATATTTTGGGATTGTAAGAATAATTCTTTGTCTTTGCGAGTAAATATTGCGTTGAATTATGTTGGAGAATAATGGTATTTCTAGATACAATACTTACTATTTAACCCATAGCTTCGAGGAGGAGATAGATTCATAACTTTCATAATGAAATAGTTCATTTTGTGAAACTGGTGATCTTCTTTGTCTCTTGTTTGAAAGATTACAATTCAAACTTCTGTTTGATTTGGTTCTCCTTTTATT